CACCGTCACCTCGAACCTCGATTCGATATGGGTGCTATATGGTGTTACCGCTTGCCTTCTAGTCAGGCCGAACACGCCTTGCATTCAAGCTGCATAGCATCGTTCTTCACTTTACATCGAAGCCTTCTGCGCGCAAGCATTGCTTGTGCGCTTCGATGAATGCCTTGCACTTCTCTTCGCCGTTCATGGTAATGCACTCGTCTCGGGCGGCCTGGCATTCATGGCATACACCTTGCAGCACTGAGCTGCACGACGCCGAATGTGTCCAACGTGAACCTCATACACTAACCTGACGATTGAGCGCTGCTTTGAGACAAAGCCCACAGTGTGACAAGAAGAATGCTCTAGTTCAGAGTCCTTCGTCTCGGGGCATGCGCAGCACATTTTCATTGTCGGCTTTTTGGCCGGTGGAGCCTCTGCGATTTGCCAGGCTGAGACAAGTGCGAAACAGGACTCTGACACGACTTTACATGAGGACATCCAGAAGCCTCCTGCGCTTTGGAACCGGAAGACCCCATGGTTGCTTCTGAATAAAGGCCCTCGAAGGGGAAAATTGACCTACAGAACCATCCCACTGCACTTTTTGGACCAAAACATCCGCGGAAGAGCTGCGAGTGGCCACGTCATCTGTGGTTGCAGCGGTTGCAGGTGGCACGATAGTGTTGGAACTCCTGTTTTCAATGCCGCAATCCTGGCTTTGCCACAGCACGGCAGTATATAGCCTTCAGACCTACCTACTGTCCCGGTGTAAGAAATAAAATCGAGGGTCGGGCTTCTTTAACAGACACCTGTCCGACGGCCAGGAACTGTTCCGTGCTCAATGGCCGCTGCCTTCTGGCAGCCGTGCACGCCGTGTCCTGTGAGCGGAAGACTGCGAGACGATTCCTGTTTGCATCTTGCAAACATCGTCTGGCATTCGCACTTGGCGATTCCGCTCAGTTGCCACCAAGTCGCTGACCTGGGCTGTGGACGTACTGAGGCAGCTGCTGCGCATTTTCATGGTGCGACCAAGTCTATGCCTCTATGCCGAATGTAAGGCCAAGTCCCCCCCCTCCGAAGTTGGTGGGCTGTGGCCGTGCAGTGGCCGCAGGCCGGTTAGCGACTCCTTACAGAACAATCGAAAGACGGGCCAAGATGAAGCAGCGCTGCCAGGATGCAATGGCCTGAAGCAGTATATCTTGCCATGAAGTTGGACAAGAAGGCTGGAGTCTTGACCAGGACATATCCGTACTCTTGTGGCACGACCTGCAAATCAGAGAATCAGCATGTTGTTGTTCTGGGCTGTCTGCTAGTGCCATCTGATCTGACATAACAAACGAGAATGAACCAACGAAAACAGCAGCACAGTCAAAGCAATTCCAGCTCCTCGAGGCAAACAAATCGGGCAAGCACGACAGCTTTCGCACTATGGTCGCAAATCTCATGTTCGGGCCTCTGCTAGGAAGTAGTAAATGTGGCCAGAAGCCAGCCCCAACAGGTCCATCCAAATGTTGCCACCTGGCCCGATTTTGCTGGACGCGACTTGTGCAAAACGATTCATGTCAAAATGCCCATTTGCTTGTTCGACTGAACTGCACTTCCCGCATCCTCTGCTTTGATTTGGGACATGAACCGTGGCCAGCCTATCAGCAGCTGGAAAAAGATCAGCGCGAACGGGAATTGGTAGCCCTGAACAGACGCAAATTTGCTAATCTTGCGGCGTACGCTTCCAGGCTACAGGTCCTGGATGGTGAAGCTGAAGAAGCTAAGTCTGGCGTAGGGTTCACGACCTGTCATAATCAAACGCGAAGAAAAGAGTCCAAGTGAGAATCTTAGCTCCAAGCTCGCTGGGTGCCCTGCGGCTCCAGTAGTACAGGATGGCAAACACCAAAGGAGGACCCAAAGTTGGGAAACCGCTTGGCCACATCAGCGCCAAGGATATCACGTCGAGGAGCTGGAATGTCGCAGCAACTGCTCTTTGGCCATAGATGATCTCAACACTGCTGCTTAACTACGACTTGCAACTATGCCGGTGGGGCCAGGATCTGCGCAAGCAGAAAGAAAAGGTAGTCCCCGGGCTGAGAAAAGACCTGACAGCCCACAAACCATTCAAAGTCTAGGGGACCTTACGTCTCCTGATACGAGGTTCCGTTGCACATGATTAGAATAGAAAGGATAGAAAGGATTTCCAAAGCGTGTTTCCTTGTTTGAAGAAGCGGGTTGTGCTTAGTGCAGGGGAGTGGGAGGCGCACAGGCCGCAAGCAAAGGACAGTCACGGTGATGGTCGGGGAGATCTGGTTCTGGCCTGACACACCTGAGTTTCCAAGGTGTGGGGCTTGGAATTTACGTCCAGTTGTTGAGTTGGGGTTAAGGATTCTAGTAATGCATGGATGGATGGCTGGCTGGAAGCCTGGGTGGGTGCGTGGGTGTGTGCGTCGGTGGGTGGTTGGATAGATGGATGGATGGATGGATGGATCTGTATGCCTGTATGTATGTATGTATGCATGTGCGTGTATCTGCGTGTATCTGCGTGTATCTGCGTGTATCTGCGTGTATCTGCGTGTATCTGCGTGTATCTGCGTGTATCTGCGTGTATCTGTATGTATCTCTATTTTATCTGTGTTGTCTATATGCGTCTGCATGTGTCTGTATGTACCTGTATGTATCTGTATGTATCTGTATGTATTTGTATGTACCTGTATGTACCTGTAATTATGTATGTATGTATCTGTATGTATGTACGTAATGTATGTATGCATGAGGGAGCGTTTTGCACTTCGGAAACGGTTGGTTTTCGGAGCGTGGAGCGTTTCCGGAGCGGTTTCGAAGCGTTTTCCGAACTCGAAAATTCTTGAAAGCATTTGGAGGATCCTTGTCCAAGCTTTTTTGAGGCGTCTTGAAGCGTCTTTGCTAGTGCCGAACGTTTGCGGAGCAGTTTTGCTGATCCAGCGTTGTTGGAGAGTTTTCGGCGCGGTTTTGCAGGGAGTTCGGAGCGTTTTTGAAACGGTTTCGGAGCGTTGTTGGAGCAGCTTCGTATCGTTTTTGCAGCATTGCTGCTTCTTCGGAGCGTTTCTGGGGCATTCTCGCTGGCCAGGAGCGTCTTCGACGCGTTGTTGGAGCGTTTTCGGAGCCGTTTTTGGAATCGTTTTCGGAATGTTTAGTTGGCTCAATGCGTCGTCCAACAAAGTTTTGGAGAGCTTTCGCTGGGCATCTTCGGTGCTGAAGACAATGACACCTATACCCGATGCTCCAGCATGGTGGGCTTATACGGGCTCCCTCGAATCAAGTGTAAGCCGCTAGCGGCGCGCGACTGTCCCGCGGGCGTAGCGCCTAGTGCCCATAAGAGTGCCTGATGAAGTGGAGAATACCCTTGTCCGAAATACACCACCCAGTGCCAGGCTCAAGCAACCTTATCAGTCTCCTGCTGTGCGGATGTGAAGGTATGCGAAGTGTTTGGGAGTGGAATCGCGACTCTCCGCAGACCAGGCCTCGTTTTGCTCCAACTTGGACGAGAAAGACGTGAAGAAGTACCTTTGCACAGCGAGCTGTGAGGGGCTTGAAGTGAAGAAGCAGCAGAAGTCGGCGTGGGCGCACATCTGCAACAAGAACTGGAAGCTGAAAGTGCCGAAGAAAAGGGCAGGTGTCAGCAGCCGCCAAACCTGCGGAACTGGAAAGTTGTGACCGTCAGATGTAAATCACTTGTTGCTCTTACAATGGGCCTGCAGCTTGTTTATGATCATGGGCCAGTTGAGGAACAACAGTCCCGGGTTCAAGAACTCCAGCTGCACGAGGACGGTGACGCCAAAGATGACGGTGAGCTGGCCCAAACACGGTGAACACACGCTACACAGGTGCGACTGCGGTCTCCGTCGAGGCTCCCACCAAAACACGCGTCAGAATGGGTAAGTTCTTATACCTTCAAGCTCCAACAGGAATCATGGACACGAAACATCCGCACACCACCAATAACTTGACCTGAGGAACGACATTGACAATTTAGACCGAGTGCCACTGTTCCGGTGTATTCTCCATGCTCCAACGCCAGCCTCGACGCAATGAACATGTACATAACAGAAAGCGGAAAGTTAAAGCTGCAGAAGCCGTCAAAACCGGACATGTTTGAGAGTGCCTGCCTCACTGCCGACACAGCTTGGCCCCTGCAATCTATATCAACGCTTATGGTTCTTCTATCCTGCCGAGCCGAATTGCTGCAAACCGACCCTAGTTTATGACAAACCACCTGTTCCACGTCAACTCGATTGTTGGTCCTGTACAGGTTTCGATGATTGCAAAAGCTTGTATGTATATAACAGCAATTTGACTTTCCAAGGTTCCCGGAATACGGTGAGAGCATTGTGTTCTGAGCTGCATTAATTGCCCGTCCCGCCCCCCCCCCTAACCTCCGAGTCGCCAACCCCGCTGAAAAGGGCGGGGCGTTGGCGCTGGCAAGCAAGAAAAACACTCCGCGCTTTTAGGCGACCAATCACATGTCTGCGCATCTCGCAGAGTTGGCAAATCAAGGCAGCCGATTGATCTGAAGCTGTGAAGCAACGAGCTACATATTCAGCTGCAGTTGTTCGCAGCAAGTTTGAAACCAGTGCTTCATCTCTTCCAGGCGTTCTTTCGAGAAGTGCAATAGCTGCATGCCAGATCATTGCAATTTGCAGCGTTCGCAAAGTTGACGAGGTGCACTGCTGATTCATCAAGCCAGCCGCAAAGCACAAGGAATGAAATTCCAATGCAGCCTGCAGGCAAACCCTTCCAAAGTGAATTTCGTGATCGCATGTGCATTTACTGCTATTTACGACACTTACGAACACAACAAGGACCCTAGCTCCTGCCAATTCGGACTGCAGCATCCAAGCACTGTGCTCACGATGGCTGCAGACAAGCCAGACACCTGGCTCTTGACAAGCATCGTTGCATCTCTCAGCCCAGTTTTCCATTGAAGGCCGGCTGCCAGGGAAGCCACGGCCGTGCTATGCAGCACCACATCACCTTCGACATGACTGGTTTGCACTTCATTCCAAATCGAAGAAGCCTGGCGCCAACTTCTTCCGGCGGTGATACTGGAGATCAGGGAGCTGCATGTCTTCGCCTCGGGACCTAAATCCCAAATCTTACCAAGGAATGTATGCTAGCGGTCACTTGCCAAGATGTTCTGCTGTCGGGCAAGACCCTGATTATCAACTCTTGTCTGTAGCTATCCAATGGTTCTCGAATGCATGCAGGGTACGTCTGCCCGACACGTTCTCAAAGCAGTCAACGACACGAACCACGGCAGCGCACCCAAGCTGTCCACTTCGGTGCTCGCAGCGGTAAGAGCATTGAAGGTAACAGATGTCGGTTGCAAAGAGGAACAGCCGATCGCAAGGAGCGTGTCTAAAGCCTTCTCCCAGGCACCAGAGCAGCTGTTGCTCGAAAGAGCAGCTGTCCAACCAAAGATGTCAACTTTGTGAAGAAGCAAACACATGCAGTGTTTCCAGGCAGAGGCGACGGAGCAGGACGCGATGGCGCAATTTGTGATGGTAGTCTGCCATCCTCGGCAAGAATGCCGACCGCTCGCCCTGCTCGCTTGCTGCAGTTGGCACGACCACATCCACTGAGCTTGACGCGTATTCCTTCTTGTCCAACCAGCTCAAGCCACTGCAAAGCCTGCTTGAAGCGGATGCATGCAATTTCATAGCATGTTTGTCGTCTACACATCCGCGCTGGTGTTATCTGCCCAGGGTCCTTCTGCCACAAAGGTACCGCAGAAGCACTGAGGACAGCAACGAAGCTGGTGTCCAGGAGCTGCAGTCCACCGGCACGGATCTGCAGGGACCCCGGAAGCAAACCACTTCTTCCAGTTGACACTACCTGTCTCATGAACTGTCCTTCTGCCACACCGACATGCTGCGCTGCCAGAGTGTCAACCGGCTGCATGTGGTAATGGCAGAGTTGGAAGCAATGACCTGAGGACTTTCTGTTCCTGGACCTTCATGATGTATAGGCGTCGATAGAATGACAGGCTAGACTTATGACTATGTCAATGTACCAGAAACGGTCCGTAGAAATGCCCCTCAACAGGAGCAGACTCTTCTGCCATGATCCATAGAAGCACAGATTGCCACAGCGATCAGCTCTAAAAACTGCATGCAATGACCTTTGACTTGAAGCATGACCTCATTGTTCATGCTTTCTAGTCCTTGCTATGCCATCGTGGGTTGGACATCATGCCAGTCTCCAACAAACCGAACCTGTGCCGTCTAGAAACTTCAACATCCACTCCCCACACACAAAATGCGGCTAGGATCCGTTAGCCTGGGCAGGACAACAATAGTCAATAGACTGCGGTAGTGTCGAATCTCAGTGGCCGGCATTACTTTGTAGGCTGTAGTGCTTGGCGTTGCCCAAAACGTCCAGCGCATGATCCCAAACAAAAGCCTTTCCACAAGAATCAACAACGGAACTGTAGAGGATGTCATCGAAAGCAGCCGGCAGGTTGCAGCGTGTATGATGCAACACTTTCACAGCCATCGCCTTGGTGAGTGCAACAGGGTTTTCCGGACCGGTCAGCATCCAGGTGGAAGACAGCTGAGACATGGGCCCAGTGACTGCCACGGGCGCAAGCTTTGACTCCCAGACTGCTTGCTGTGGCATCGCGCTCGAGACCTTGCTGTTTCAAGATGTCCCCAAGGAGCCATGAGGCCGACTGCCACTTGCCAGCGCGGATGTCCCGTGCGGCTGATCGGCTAACTGCAATCAAGCCCTGACATCTTTGACGCATCTGAGCCCCTCATTCCTGCATGCCACTGCATGATCAACACCTCAACAGCTCCAAACAGTGTCCAAGTCAGAAGATTGCAACGGATTTGGCAGATCTGCACCGCACTCACAAGTAGAAGGACACCCTTTTGCACGAGCTGACACCACCGAGTGTTTGCTACCCCTCTATTCAGGGCAGCACCGGCTACTTGGCGAAGGACCTACGATCCAGTGCCACGTCCTGCCACGTCTCATAGAGAGATGAGGCTCAGATCCTGGCAAGCAGAAATCGAAAATCAGGCATCGAGACATCGAGAGTACGAAAGACGGCTCGGAGCTAGTTGTTGTGGAGCATCGGGAGAGCAAGCGGTGGTTGATGATTGATCTAGCGTTCATAGGGCACTGCAACTGCCCCCACAATCAAGGCTTACTTAAGCATCTCAAATGCCCATTGTTGGAACAAAACAAGATCGACAGGAGTACATGGAGGACATGTCACCAAAACCCAATCCCGTGCTAGGCTCGCAGGTTCGTCACTGTCACGGCTTTCGAAACTGTCTCTCCCCGACCTTGCGTTTTTGCAGAGAGCCCGAGGCCAAAGACTTAGGGTTTTGTTACAAAGATGTGGCTAACTGTTTTGGCGGACTCTCTGCCCGGTGGACTCGTCAGTTCGACGAGCCTGGACCCTGGAGATGTTGGCACGCAACCGTATGTAGTCGCAGCCCTGTGCGAGAGCGAGAGTAAGAGTAAGCCTTGCCGTGGCCAGGGGCCTTTTGCTGACAACTCAAGCACACCCAACTGACCCAACCCGCTGCCTTGAATTCATCATCGCGTTCGGGCTCAGGTTCAGCGACTGTCAATTGCAGCGCTGGCGAATTCTGCCCCTTGGTGCCCAATCAATGACTAGCCATCCATTTCACAACAGCTGAGGATGTGCCTGATGTCTGGGGGCAGGGCTCTCGTTAGCAGCGTGAGATGCGCTGCCTGACACGTTCAAAAGCACTTCCAACGTGGATGTGTTTTTGCAGCGATGCTAGCAAAGCACGACTTGGCCTTTGCAGCGCCGTCAAGAGCGTAAAAGGCTGAAGTTGGTTTCGCCTCTTGAGCGCCAAGAATAGCCTTGAAGAACTGCACGCGCTGGCGAGATTCTTGTGGAAACTTCTTGAATTTGAGCTGAACCTTCTTGTCCGGCAGTTGGGGCACCTCCTTCGACATAAATTTCCAGACGAAAGCGAGCAACTGTGCCTCGTCGTCTCTAAATTCTTGTAGAAGGACCCGGCACCAGACTGGTAACGTCACTTTCTGCGGGATCCCGTCACGAAGCTGTACCTCCACGAAAGTGCCGACGAATTGATGAGCCATTTCGTTCAGCTGGGAGTCAATGCTTGCAGCATCGAAGATCGGAACGGCAGACAAGGAGCTTAAGGTACCTCTGTTGAGGGTCAGAACCACACGAAGGTCCTGCTTCGGGGGAAGCCAAAGCTCTGGTGGGCTTCCGATGTAGAGGCAAGCTTGCGTTTTGTCGTAGGTCCAAGGCCCCTTGGGAAGCGGCATCTTGGGCAAGCACATTGGGGCATCCGGCAACCGTGACCGCGACTGCTGGCCACGACTAACAGGAGAGCTGGGATCTTCTGGCGGGGTCGACCCCTTGCGACAGAGGCCGCAGAATCCCAGGAGCTGCCTGGCCCGTACCCGAGCCTGGCGAGCGGCTTGTGGATCAGTCTTGGGCACACGGAGCATAGCACTTTCGATCTCACGGAGGCTCATTGGCCTCGATCCGATCAGGTAACTGACTCTGTTGCGGAAGTTGTTCAACTCCGACTTTGACTGCGGAGCTCCAAATATGAGGAGGCCGTGCACGAGGATGCAGTGATACGTGTTGACCCAAAATGTCAACATCTCAGCCTCCGTCCAATTTTGAAAGCTGACTGCCTGCAGGGCAAAGGGCGGGGGCTTCAAGTCCACCCCAGCTCGCTCACCTACAGAACCTGCAATGCTGACTGGGTGATCTCTGTGCCTGTCTGTTACAAGTAGTTGTTCCTTTCCGACCGTGCCTTGAACAAACAGGTTGCATCCAGAAAAGCCGTAACGTCAGCCGCTGCAGGCGCTGCACCCAAACTGAGCGCCTTCTCCAAGAGGCATGCAGAGAAATCAGGTGCTAAGCGTTTCTCTGGTAAACTTGCGAGGATACGATCATTCAGCACCAAGCGCCGTCTGTGTCCCCATCGTCGGCCTCTGGTGGAATCCATGAGCGACATGGCCTCCTTGCTCGGAACTCTCTGTCCGCCTGTAATCGCACGCAGGCCGTTTCTCGCTCCACCGGCGACTCTACCAGCCGCTTTCTTTGCGCTGGAAAAGCTAAAGACATCCACTGGATTTGAGCGTCCGCTTTTCCAAGTCGCAGGTGTCTTCGGAGACGGCGGCTCTTGCGACGGCTCTCGGGGAGAGCCGATTTCAGGAGACAGTTTCGAGTCCTTCTGGTACGTAACGTCAGCGTGGTGCACATCTCCACCGACCTGTGCCACCATGCGGCTCAAGTTCGAAATCCACTGTTCCCTCTCAGCCGAGTCCGCGCAGCAGAAGACAAACACGCGAAGGAACGTGTGGACCTAGGAGGCAGTGCTCGCATCGCTTCCCCGGCACTGTTTTCGCAGAAGGCTAAGGAAGCAGTAGTATCCTACTGGGTCCGCTATGTCCTACCATGGTCTATAAGCCTTTTAAGCCTCCACTCTTGCAACTTCCTCTCAGAAAGTCCTCTCAGGTTGGCTTTCATAACTTGTGATCGTAGCCCGGCCTGCCAAAGCATAAATCTGCCCAGAGTGGGTCCGGGCAAGGCTTCGATCTGCAGGATCTCGCCGGCATGCACGCTTATTCGCGGCTTTTCGCAATCATAAGGCGTGAAGCAGCGAAGGAAACCATCTGAGGATAGCCGAAGAAGTTCTTCACAGATACGACCTTCGAAATGCACTGATCCGACCAAGGCCTCGCAAGATTTAGGATAGTGGCGTCGACAGCTGGGCATGCTTTCCTAAAGCCCTAGCGCGAATTTCAACGAGACTAATTGCTCGGTCGAATCGGTCCTCCCGGATGACGCTTGTTCGTCCTTGCCGGGCATGAGCGAAGGCCAGGCCACAAACGATGCTGTCTGCTGCGACGAAAAAGCGTGGTGGCATCAGTTGCACACGCCGACGTTGTCCCAGTGTTCTGCGTCTGACCTCTGTTTCAAATGGGGCACCAGCAGTCGGATGTCACTTCGGAGGCCCTGAAAAGAACGGCACAGCATGTCTCCCCCAACAAAAATGTCTGAACTTATGACCAAGCACCTTGCGAGCCAGTCTAGCAGGGCTGCTCAAATGACCTGAATCAGGCCGTGGACTGCCCTCCACGGATGCATCCGTCTGGTCGGGAGTCATCGACCCTGTGACTGCTGCTCGAACCACGACACTCCTGCACATGCAACTGGCCCCAATGCAAGCAGACATCGACCGCGGAAACAAGGGCAGCAAGCTCACTCCTCAGCTTGGACTCACTCTCCAAGTCCAGGTGGGAGGACACGACAGTTCGGAATTGCTCCAGCGTCTTCACGGCACAGCAGGTGTACCTGGACAGATGAACAAGTTCCGCACACGGCTTTTCACTGCAAGCGGACCAGTTAAAATCGTTCAGTCATGCGGGCCTTCTGGCTCCAGGACCGCGGCGGAAGGTTCGGAGCCGCCGCTTCGGGCGGCACAGCGAAGCCAGCTCTTGAGAGTCTTTCGCTGTCCAAAATGTCCCGCCGGGATCGGTGAGTGAAAAAATGTACCAGTAGCGGACCTGCTTCTAGGAACGTTTGGCGAGCAAAAGCTTCTTTGTTAAAACAGCTCCACCAATGTCCGGTTCAACGACATAATCGACACAGTTGATTCGTGGAACATGTAGCGTTGGCGAAAAAAGTAGAAATCTTCGTCTCCTGCCCCTGAACCCACACAAGTCCTACTACAACATGCGTACATCTGCAGCCTGCGAAAGCTGGCGGTCTAATCACATTCACCAGGTATATCTTGCTACGGCAATCAAGACCAGGCCTTGCGGCGTCGGAATCGATCAATGGCTTCGATGTAGAAGGGAACTTGGACTTGAAGTTTATCCGGCAAGATTTCGTCAACATTTCTAGGCCGCCAACTTTCGATTTGAAGAAGTGCCTGAGAGTGGCTCTTGCTTAACTCACGGATCTCCTCCTCATCCTGATCATACATGGCCTCGTCATCATCAAGAGAGTCTTGCGTCGTCTCTGAATCGGTTTGGTCGTCTGCTGTTACTAGCTGAACATCAGATCCCGCAGCAGACACTTCTTCAGAAGCATCAGACGCAACCTCCAAAACCGTCTTGGGAGACTCATCGTCCATTCCAGCAGGAGCATCCATGGACGGCCTGCGTTCAACTTGCCATTCGTCTCCCTGCGACCCTCTTGCAAAGAAAATCTGCAGAATCAAGCTGTCTCTCCAGTTACCATGCTCTCCGCCGCATCGACCGAGATCGTAGATGAAGGCACACCCTGATTTGATTTCACCCAAAACGCTCTCCAATGGGAGCGGACTGATTGCTGGCACCTTCAGCAATTCCCAGGTGCAAAGATCTAGGTATGCCACTCTCCAAATGAAGGTGTAAGTACTCGTTGTATCCACTTCCAACAAGCCGGGACCGGCCCATGCAACGTTTTCAACCTCCTCGCTGCCCAGTGGAGGCGGTTCCTCCCCATCGGGTGTTCTCACGAAACACATGAGAGCTCGTATGTGGAATCCCATTTGACACGGCGACGTCTTGCTGCCTAAATCAATAACGAAGCGGCCTCCAGTTTTCTTCTTTGCGAATTTCGCCCCAACTGACACCACATTCGACATGATCCAACCTAGGTTGAGCTCTCCATCCAATGTACCACCTGCCCAAATGTTCGTAGAGTTCTCCTGGCCCATCGTGGCATTGTGCTTGAACTTGCCTTGGAACTGCACAATCAAGCCTTTCCTGGGGCCATTGGTGTGCTCTGGCTTCACGTTTCCAGGCTCATTCCCTGTGTCATGGATGACGTGGAAGAGACCTTCCGGGCATGACTAAGACTAGATGCATGCTCAGACTACACGGCTGTTACAAATCCGGAATGTGACTTGTGGGCATACCATGCATCATACACTTCAATGCCCCACCTGCCTTTGAAACCAGGCGAATCGAACTCTACGGGAGTTCCATTAATCTCCACGGGGACTCTCTCACCGTTGGTGGTCCCCAAAGATAAAAAGAAAGGACGGCTACGGGCAGCGCACATCCAGTGCGCCGCACCAAACGGTGCTTTGAAACCAAATTGCTGCAGCAACCCAAATCAATCGACATGTCCCGACGCGTTCCGATAAAATCCCGAGCAGGCTTCAAGCACCGGACAGACCACACATGGGGCGAACCTATTCTGGCCACCTCGCTGGCCACAAGAAATGGAAACCACGGACTTTCATAGTCTCTCTCATAATAAAGGGCTTCTGCACTGATTCATCGGCATTCGTGGGAAAAACAATGTCGAATGATCGAGCACGCGAGGTTCGAGCAGGACGTGCAAATGTTGGTTGAACAAATCGTACAGGCAAAGTAAAGCGCGCTGTCGTGGCCGAGCAGGAAAATTTGCAATTTCGGCTTCGGGCTGTTGCTAAATGATATATGAAAAAGCCCTTGCTCCTCGAATTCGTGCAGCTTCACCGGTTCTCACGACGCAAATTTGTAAACTATCCTGATGGGTCGGTGTTGGAAGGTGGTCCTGCTGGGTTTACACGAAAGCGTGTATGCTTGATGATGGGGGGTTCGTTCAATTGACGGGTACGCCGCCTGCAAAAGGGAGCACCACCAACACAACAGATGTTATTTTAACCGCAAATCCTCCCGTGCTGGCTCCAACCCCATCTGGTTAAACACTGTACATGATACATTCTGCGTCACCTTCAAAGCTTCAACTAACCGAGAGGACACTGCGCTCGTGCAAGATTGTGCAATGCACGCCATATGGTTATATCGTGTCATGTACCTGTTGACACACGCTTGATTGGAGCTCGCCTGGCATGTCCCCCGCAGCACATCGCGATCACCTGAAAATCCTGAAAACAAAACCCTTGATGAATCTTCAGAAACGCCAGCATCACTTGCAAGAGAGCCTGTAGTATGTCGTATGTACATTAAGTCCTGCTCCCCCGTGATGTCCGTCGTGGTTGGATGGGAATCCGAACGTGCATCATCAAAATTATGACACAATATCGTTGATCCGCTCCAACTTTTCGCTGGATACCCTTTTCTCTGCATTAGACAGAATATCAATCCTTTTCCAGTCTTTCATACAGGCACGCTTTTCCGCCGTTCGCGTGATCCCAGAAGACGAACAGCCTGCATGCTGTGCGTGAAAGTGCACTTGTGCTACATGAGATCGGATTTGATATGGATTTGATGCAAGTCACGCGCCGTATCGGCGACGCAAGCTTCGCAACCGAACGGGAGCTCGAGGAACAAGGCAGTTGCGATAGCAAGGATTCCGGACCTTTCCCCACCGTTTGCTTCACTGCTATGTGTGGCCGTATAACGTCGGCCGGAACGGCGGGAGGCTTGCCCCAGCGGCCGCTGCCAGGTCCAGCACGCGCTCAAGACTGGGCCAGTCATGCCCGTTGCTGGAGACCTTAATCGGCGAAAACCTAGTTACTATTCCGGGTCTGGGCACTGCAGCGTCGGCGAGGTCCGGTTCCGGCCGAGCAGGCGAGCTCTTTAGCGCCGGAGAGTTTCTCGGGGCTTAAGCCGCCACCGGCCTAGGCGGTCCGGTTGCGGAGCTCGGGGGCGTGTTGCATGTCGCAATCAACGCTGTCCAAAGGCAAACAGCGCCAGGCGACAGGCCTTCGCCTTGCAGCATGTCCCTGCAGCAGTCGCCAGCCGCATAACACATATAATACCAGCAGCAGCTTAGCCAGCCTCACACACGGGCGTACGCAATGCAGCCAGCGAACGACACCAACACTGCATTGTGGACCGGTTATGACCGGCTTGTTCGCCGCGGGACACAAACGAACCGATATGAGGAATTCTGCGCAACTGATCCCGGCAAGGTCCGAAAGTTTTCCAAAGCCTCGGAGAGAAATGCCCTCACCCGATCTCACCCGATCCAAACGCATCCGAAACAGCAGGGGTAGCTGTCTCGAACTCGGCCTCAGCCTCACATGCAAGTCGGTACGCAGCAGGCTCTGCGCAGCCCTCGCGCAAACAAGAACATAGCATAATATAGCAATGTTTAAGAACCAGTCAGTCAGTCAAAGCACATGGGCATGGAAGGAACAATTAGTTCTCGAAGCAAAAAGATTGCACACGTTGTCGCCACACGTTCGGTGGAGACGCCCATAAACGCTTCAACTCATCAAAATCTCCTGCCACCTGTACAGCTAATTAACTGATACACCTGGGTGGTCCACACCTGTTTGGGGCGGCCTCGACATCTCGGTTTCATATGACCTTGGAGCTGATACGAACCCTCCTCAAAAACACATGTTCGCATGACGTCCGAGGAAGGAAGCGCAGCAATCTTGCCAATGAGCTGCAGTTGTCTGTACATCAAATTTTTGGAATATGGTTTGGCCACAGCTTGTTGCAGAACCTCCACGTTGGACACGCGGCTGAGAAAAGAGTGCGGGATTCCAAGAATCTTGCGTAGACATCGAGCCTGGAAGCCATCAAGTTTTCGAAGGAATGCTTTGTTCAGCCAAGCTGTGTGCAGGCAGTGCAACAACTGCGAGCCAATGCACGCATCGAAAATGGTGATTTTGCGACGCAAAGGAATGCTAGCATGTTTCAATTCAAAAAGGATCTGCAAGATCTTCCAGGATTTTTTTTTGCCGCGCGCCTTTTTACGACTGCAAGGGTTGAGGAATTCCCGGTCCCACTGCAAACTAAGTATAACCGTTACTGGCTTTCTCTGCCGCAGTCCGCCACAGGAGGAGGACCTCTCAGCGCGCTTCCGCGAGGAGCTCGTGCAGCTCAGGCCCCGGCCCGTCGCTGAAATCGACGGCCGGGGGGCAACTCGAGCAAGGAAGCAGTGAAGGCATGTGGAGGCTCGTTGTGCGCCGACTGCGAGGATGCCGGACCATCGCGCCGCCCAGGCGGCGATCGCGGCAGGTCGCAGGCGCAGGGGACGGCGGCGGCACGATGACGCGCTATGAGGCGCGAGCTGGGACCCGTGCCACAGAGGGAGGTTGGTCGCACGACAACATAAAAGTAGGCCAGGACGCTCCAGTAGTAGTCGTCGTCGTCGTAGTCGTAGTCGTCGTAATAAAAACAGTAGGAATCGTATTGGCTTGGTGGTACCCGAGTGCGCACGGCTCAACTTCCGAAAGTGAGTGTGCGCAAGGCATGGTTTGCGCGGCTCTTCACGGCGGCGCTTGTCGGTCCACGCCTGGACGAAGTCGGAGTGCCCTCGCTGGGCCGGCGGTTTTACCCCACGCCACACTTGCTCCTCCAGCTTCGCGCGATCCCCGGTACAACGCCGGGAAAGCGACGCCCTGCTCGCAAAAAGGCCTTGCCCTGCCGGGACCCCGAAAAAAAAACTCCGACATGGAGTCGTTGGCGCTGCGTCCATCCAGAGTGAGCACTGCATCGCGTCGCTCGGCCAGGACGACCCGCACATGGGCTGTGAGGCTGTGAAGGCATCCGTGCCCGCCGGCGCTTGGAGTGCAAACTGGTACGGCCGCGTGGCGTTGTCGAACGCGTCAACCCACTGTTTGGCGAGTGCTGGGCGAGTGTGCGCGCAATAAGCCGGCGAAAGGCGTCGCCCGTTGCGAAACCCGCACGCCTTTGTCAGGCGAGCCATACCGAGCGCCTTCTGTATTTCTAGCGGCAACTCCATAGACGCGGCGTTATGCAGGAGCAGTGGGAGGATTACCAAGTGCTCCGTCCGCATGCCTCATATATAGCCCCGCTGCTCCTCCTCTGTTCGCCTCACGCAATGTGGTTTCCAAATGCTGCCACTGCACCAGCGGATACTAGCGGCGAGCCTAGCCTGCTGATCGGGCTGAAAAGCAAGGAGCTCGCAGGCAAAGGGGCGAGCGACTGCGGAGGGTGGGTCCGTGAGGGCTTGCCACGTGGCGTCATTTCCTGGCGCGAGCTCTGCGGGCAGCACTTGGCGAGCACACGACTATTCCTGTTGGCGAACGTTTGCTCACACCTGGTTGCGATTTCTGACGACGTCACTGTCAGGAGGCGGCGAAGGATGCCCACTTTGCACTCTGCACGTTGCCCGTTCGAATCAGAGATTACGGCCCCGCAATGATATGGTGTCGTAAGGAATGTTATTCGGGCGAATCAGCCACATCATGTCAAGCGTCTGCTAAGCGAAAATATGCACGACTGAAACATCTCAGATCATCGTCCCACCGAACAACAACAACAACTACTACTACTACTACTACTACTACCACTACCACTACCACTACCACTACCTACACCACTATACCACTATACCACTATACCACTATACCACTATACCACTATACCACTATACCACTATGCCACTATGCCACTATACCACTATACCACTATACCACTATACCACTATACCACTATACCACTATACCACTATACCACTATACCACTATACCACTACCCCTACCGCTACCGCTGCCGCAACCGCCACCCGCTCCCGCTACCGCTACCGCTACGGCTACGGCTACGGCTACGGCTACTTCTTCGGCTACTGCTACTGCTACTGCTACTGCTACTGCTACTGCTACTGCTACCACTACTACTAATATACCCGTACTAGTAGTAGTAATAGTAGTAGTAGTAGTAGTAGTAGTAGTAGTAGTAGTAGTAGTAGTAGTAGTAGTAGTAGTAGTAGTAGTAGTAGTAGTAGTAGTAGTAGTAGTACCACTACTACTACCACTACTACTACTACTACGACTACGACGACGACTACGACTACGACTACGACTACGACTACGACTACGACTACGACTACGACTACGACTACGACGACGACGACGACTACTACTACTACTACTACCACTACTACGACTACGACAACTACTGCGACAACTACGACTACAACTCCTACTCCTACTCCTATTCCTGCTCCTGCTCCTGCTCCTGCTCCTACTCCTACTCCTACTCCTACTCCTACTCCTACTCCTACTCCTACTCCGACTCCCACTTTTTTTTTTTTTTTTTTCGCGGACCTTTTTCCGGCAGCCCAAAGTCACAGACAGAAGTGCCTACCGGGCCCTACGGAGGCGCACACACCGAAGCACTAGCGAGGCCCCTGGCGGCTGCCAACAGACGGAAGCTGCCAACGCACGTCGGCGAGGACCTCGTGCAGATCCGGC